GCCGCCGGCGGCCACGCAATCCTCGATCTGCTGGATCTGGCCGGCGACGTCGTCGTAGCCGTTCGCCGCCATCACCGTGGCCGAGATGTTCTGGCGCTTGGCCTCGACCAGCACGCCGTAGTCCTTGGCGACGTAATAGGCGTCCTTCATGTGCGGGAAGGCGACGCACAGGCGCCACGGCTTGGTCAGCGAACCGGCCGGCAACGGCTTGTAGATGGCCGTCGGATTCTTCTCGTCGACCATCAGCTGGGCGGTCCAGTCATCGGCCGCGAAAGCCGCTCCCGCCTGCAAGGCCAGCATGGCCGAAAGCGCAATCCCCGAAATCTTCCTCATGATACCGCTCCCACTGCTATATCTCGTTGCGAGATAATGGCTCCCCTAAACCCGCCCATGGATGATCATCGACGTGATGTCCTGGCGGGTTGTCCCCTCCGTCGGCACGACGCCGACCAGATTTCCATTTTTGAGTACGGCCTACTCGATTGGAGATGCTCATGACATGCTCCATGTTGTGGCTGACGATCAGGAACGAGATGCCGCGCTGGGACAGGCGCTGGATCAGGTCGAGCACCTTCTGGCCCTCGTGCACGCCCAGCGCCGCCATTGGCTCGTCCATGATGATCAGCTTGATGTCGCCCAGCAGCAGGCGGCTGATCGCCACCGCCTGGCGCTGGCCGCCCGACATGGTGCTGACCGGCCGGTCGAGATAGGGCATGCGGATGTCGAGTTCGCGCAGCAGCGCCCTGGTGCGCTCGACCATCTCGGCGCGCCGCAGCAACGGCAGCACGCCCAGGATTTTGGTCGACAGCTCGCGGCCGAGGAACACGTTCTGCGGGACGTCGAAGCAGTCCACCAGGCCCAGGTTCTGGTGCAGCGTGGCGATTCCGAGATCGTGCGCGTCGTGCGGGCTCTGGATGTCGGCCAGCTGGCCGCTGACATGGATGGTGCCTTCGTCCGGCACTTCGGCGCCGGACAGGATCTTCACCAAAGTCGACTTGCCGGCACCGTTGTCACCGACCAGCGCCATGATCTCGTTCTGGCAGACTTCCAGCGAAACGCCGTTCAGGGCGCGGTTGCCGCCGAAAGACTTGACGATACCCGAGGCCTTGAGCAGCGACACAGGAGTTACCGGAGCGCGGGTAAACGCGTGGACCTGTTCCATGCTCATTCCGCCCTCACCTGCTGCATCATCTTGATG